TTTACATTGGTCTAAGTTATTATTTGAAGTTACTTTTCAATTTCGTGGTTATTACAAAAAGCTAGAGATATTTTGTTTTAACAATATTTGCATCTTACACAATGACATTATTAATTTTTAAGCAAAATCTCCACATCTGAAGTAAGGTACCAATACTTTCAGCATCAAATTACATTAAAAATATTTATCTCGTTATGTGTATCAATTAGTCATCCAAGTAAAATTATTTATTAAAATACGAACAAATACCAGATTTAATAGAAAAGCTTCCAGTAAAAAATTTAACATTAAACTTTTCCTGGGTTCTAAGAGTTATATTTCATTTAGGTACAAACACCTTGAATTAATATTGTATTTTTTGCAACAAAAAAGAAAAATTTAGTACTTTTGTTTTTACGATCTAATATAAAAAAATCTTTAATTTTTTCAAAATGTTATTGAAATGATGATCTGATGCTCTGAGACTCGCAAAAGTAAAGGGAAATATTGAACCAATCATATTCTTGGAATTCTTGGAAGAATAGTAGGTAGATTTTTAAATTTACACGTAGTACATGATCTAATAAGTGGTGCAAAATTTAAGAATCTATCTTGTTTTATTTTATCAATAGACCAGAAATGCTTTTAACAAAGTCAAACATGTCTTCCTGATTCAAAATCTTCAAAAATTTAAGAGAAAATTTTATATCCGTATATATATACACTCTATGTTTAGGAGTTGCGGCATCAGTTTTGACTAACGGTTTCTAATCGATCTTCTTGGGGAATCAGATCCTTTTTCTTAAAAAGGGGTTTGATTTCAGCAACATTTCCGAATTATTTTGTTACAAAGGGGTCTTATTTCAGCGACATTTCCAAAGGGGGCTGATTTCAGCAACACCACCGAAGCTTTTTCTATAGAAATCAAAGCTGACATGTAAAGTTTTTGATTATCAGGATTGCCTAAACCATTAAAAAATGCAGTACGAAGGCAATTTGAACCATTTTAATCAGAGACGTAAAATCTGTCTGTTATTTCTTCGAAAAGATAACATAATTAAGAAAGCAAGTAATTAAGTTGACAATACCTTAAAAACCGACCATTGCGCATTGGTTAGAGCACTTCTTTAGAATTAAGAGATCCAGGGTTTAAAACATGCTCTTGGCATATTTCACGTCATTGGTAAGAAAGGAGACGCGAATCTTCTAGTTAAATGCTCTTCCACGGTGCTCTCTAACAAGGCCGTCAGGTCTTGTTAGAGAGCACCTTTAGGGGCACCTAAAACAAAGAAAATAATAAAAAAAACCAAGAGTCTTAACACTTTAGGGTTTTGACCCATGTAAAAATGACATGGAATAAAACAATAAAACCGGTTCTAAAATATTTAATGTTACGTTTAACACCAGATTGAGTAGAACTACCAAGTTCAGCTTGTAATTTTACTCAGTCTGGTTGAAATATTACTCAGTCTGGTTGCTCTAAACAAAATCGAGACAGCACTTAAACTTTTAGTTACTGCGTCACTTAGGCGAAAGATAATGATGATTATGCTGACTATGCGTGGTTTTTAGCAAACGTATTGCCATTCCAGAATAGATAATGAAACGTTTGCATGAAGCCATTATTGAAAACCTGTTGCTTTAAATAATGCTTTTATGCTTTTTTAATTATGAATTTTTAACAATGACTTCTTTATTAAAAATTCAAATTTAAATGCAATAAAATTGAAATATGTTGGCGCCAAATTTTTGCCGCTGAAATAATGTAAACAAATACATTGCCATTTCTGTTAATAATTGAATTTGAATTGCTAATAAATAAAAATTGAACATTGATTGAATGCCTTAATCAACTATGTTCTCTCAGTAAGAGGACTTACATGACATCAATTAATTAAAATTGGAATTGATGGAGGTGGTTCATTTTTGAAAATTACCCTCAGCGTAATTGACACATTCCAAGCAAAGCTATACTCAAGGACTATCATGTCTTCAATCAAGTTCTTCTGCCCAAGATGATGGTGTAAAAAAACAGCTGATTGTTGCTGCAGCAGAAGGTATTTCGAAAGGTATTCCTGAATGCAACTAACTGTTGAAGAACGATGACATTCTTCAGAGTCTTGCCCAAAAACATTGTGCTTTTGGGCAAGACTCTGAAGAATGAATTGATGGCAATAGCCAAATTCAAGATCCACTGGCAATATCCATTGAATCTTGAATTTGGCATACATTGATTCAGTGGTTTGTTCACTGAAAGATCCGAGTTTAGTTTCATTTTTTTCAGCAATATCCTTAATACGGTGAAAAATTGCATGTGCTTTGGGAGCAACTAAAATTACAAGAGCTAGGTAAAAATGCTTGAATTCTGAAATATTTCGATAGAATCTTGCCTCCAAGATCTTTCAAAAACAAGCTTTTTTAACAGGTTAAAGCTTTCTGAAGCAATCAGCAAAACGCATTGCTTACAATGCACCTTTAAATCTTTAAACCTTTAAAGGTTTAAAAGGCAACCTTCTCATTCTGAATATGGTGACAATCTTCTAAGTTGTGTTATTGATCTTAGCAGCAAACACATTTGAAATTAAATTGTTGTATATTAAAAACTCTCAAGAGAAAAATCTCAGCCAGAGTTTTGCGTGTAATTACTTATTTTTTTCGGAAGATCAACTGTCTTAAATTTGTATTGGTTTAAGCTATTTTGTAATTCAGTGTATTTATATTTAGAAATATATGTACATTTTTTTGAAAAAATCAAATAGGGCATGGTTCATTGAGTGGAGAGTTGGAAGTCCTCTCCCCATCTACTAGTGTCTAGGGTGCGCTTTAAAATCCTTGTGGTTGTAACTGCAATCTCACTGAACTGAAATTCTCTTTGAAGTTCTTGGAGTCCAAGCAAACTATGTGTTTATTAAGCATCTCATTTGAATCAAACCTTGATTGTTACTCATTACATCCATGTCTGTTAAAGCAATAAAAGTCTCGGTTTTATATTTCTCCAGTTATTTCAAACTGTAACAGTTAATTTTTTAGACTCTTTGCTTCTGTGCGTACGAGTTTATTTTATTTTCACAGTTAAACCACAATATAAAACCACAAAAACATTATTATTTTTTTTTAAATTGGATAAGATTGAAAATATAGCCGAACTAGCCGAACTTTATTATTTTATTAAAAATTTTATAATTTTTTAAAAGTCTTAAGTATATCAAATTAATAAAAGTTTACATAAAAGTTATCAATGTTTAGTATCAGAAAATATAAGTTCTCCTAAATTTTTGCTTTATGCGTGCTTGTAGAAAAACTTGTTGCCAATTTTAATTAAGTTGATATTATCCGTCAATATTTTTATTATTATTATTATAGTTGTAGCCGTAAATTTGCATAGAATGTTCACATACAGTGAGCAGGGAAAACACCCCACTATAAACAACCAGTTTTATAAATATTTGTTCCAAACTTATTCCACAACTAGGAGTCTAGTCTTTTTTTGAAGAAAAGTACAGTGGAGTACAAAGTTATTTGCTCTGGTAGTTCGTTCCAGTATTTTGCTGATCTATTATACAAATGATTATATCTTGGAAGACAGTTTGGAACATACTCACGCCTTATTTTAGAATGGTGACCACGAGACATGGAGATAATATATTTTGGTAGATATTTATCATTAACTATATCATAACGATGTATTAATTTAAAAATTTGGATTAAATTGCATCGAAGGCGTCGAAACTCAAGTGATGGTAGATTTAATCTTTTTAGCCTTTCGCAGTATTGAAGATGCCTCAAGCTGTAAGCCCATTTTGTTGCTTTGCGTTGAACAGATTCAACCAAAGTCATATCAGCTTTTAAATAAGGAGCCCAAATGGACACTCCATATTTAAGATGTGGTCTTATAAATACTTTATATAATTTGAGAGCCATTTTTTCATCAATGAAAGTGAATGTCTTTTTCAGCATACCAAGAATTTGTAAGGACTTAGAGACAACTGTTTGAATATGAGCGCTCCATTTGAGGTTAGATGTAAAAATCACTCCTAAATCACGTTCTTTAGTTGAGCTTCTTAGACATTGGTTGATTCCTTGGTTATTTTGCAGAAAGTAATTGTAATGGGGGTTGTTTCGACCGTAATGAATGACGCAACATTTTGAGGTGTTTAACTTAAGTAACCAAGTGTTTGACCACTCGTATACCAAGCGTAGACGATCCTGCAGATCAACAAAATTTCTCAGAAGCAAATATCCCAGAAGTTTCAGTGAGTTTTGCAAGATCATTTGTGTAGAGAATGAAGAGGAGCGGGCCGAGAACAGAACCTTGAGGAACACCACTGAAAACATCAACCCATGCAGAGTTGGTATTGTTAATTGTAACGCGTTAAAATTCTGTGTTTTAATGCAGAGTTGGTATTGTTAATTGCAACGCGTTACAATTGTATTGTACGCGTTACAATTGTTAATTGTAACGCGTTAATATTCTGTGTGTTAATGCTAAAAAGCCAAACAAACGCTAAATCATTACACTTTCATTCTCTTAAACAGTTGTGATGAACGAATAAATATGATCTAATTTAGAAACTTTCGCCAACTTAAGTATGGTGTTGAATACAAATTGTTCAACTAATAATTTCGTTTGCCTAAACATAGAAATTTTACAATTCAAAAATTATTTTTTGTTATTACCCAGCCAGCAATAGCAAACGGGCCGCATACGGTTTTTATTTGGGCTTACTGGAACGGTATTTAGCTAGGCGCGAGTTCTTGTTTCTAGATGGGTTCAAAACATTGCATCTGGTAATGAAATGGGCTAGAAAATCTGTGACTTTGACGGGTTGCCCATTTGAGCCCATTTCGGGTTAAACAAAACTTCAATTAAATGCGTTAAGTGATCGCTATTTAAACTTCCAACTTTACGTTGAAAACTTGTAAAAATATAAACAATTTAAATTGTAGTATATTATTTTTAGTTATAAATTTTTTTTTATGTGGTTTTAATTTTATATATAAGAATTATTATTTTATCATAGAATTGTATCAATGGCATTCACGTTTATTAAGTTTTATTAAACGAGGAAACAACAAAAGTTGGTACTTTAATTTTTATTATTGTTTTACTTCTTTTGTGAAATTCTTGCCAATGTGATAGGCTTTAAATGTGAATGGCTTTAAATGTGAATGACTTTAAATGTGAATGGCTTTAAATGTGAATGGCTTTAAATGTGAATGGCTTTAAATGTGAATGGCTTTAAATGTGAATGGCTTTAAATGTGAATGGCTTTAAATGTGAATGGCTTTAAATGTGAATGGCTTTAAATGAGAATGGCTTTAAATGTGAATGGCTTTAAATGTGAATGGCTTTAAATATTATAAAGTTGATTCAATAACATTTTGCCCTTATATTATAAGGGCAAAATATATTAATATAAGTTATAATATTATAAGTAATTATAGTAATAGGATATTATTATATAAATATAATATCATAAGTTAAAATAATATTATAAGTTCGAAATAATTTTTGTATAAACTTGCAGCTCATATAAAGTACAATTTATATAAATATATAAATTGTATTTTATATGAACTGTAAGTTCATATAATTAAAAGTATATGTGCAACAGTTAACTTATTTATAACTTATAATGTTTACATTTATAACTTATAATGTTTACAGTTAAAACTTACAGTTTTAACTGTAAACATTATAAGTTATAAATGTAAGTTATAGCAGTTATAAAGTAAGTTGTAGCAGTTATAACTGTATGCTAAAACTGTTTAAATACAGTTATAAAGTAAGTTAAATCAGTAATAAGTTATAACTGTAAGTGAAGCAAATGTATATGAATTGCAGTAAAAGTTCATATAAATATTTAACTGTATATATATATATATATATATATATATATATATATATATATATATATATATATATATATACACAGTTAAATGTATATGAACTGTAAATTGCAGTAAAAGTTCATATAAACATTTAACTGTATATATATATATATATATATATATATATATATATATATATATATATATATATATATATATATATACACAGTTAAATGTATATGAACTGTAAATTGCAGTAAAAGTTCATATAAACATTTAACTGTATATATATATATATATATATATATATATATATATATATATATATATATATATATATATATATATCAATTAATTGAACTTATTGACAGACTCAAGGCCCAATATAATAAATATACGAGTATTATTCTAAGAGGATAAGTGATCAACTAAGAAATTGTATAGCTACACTTGACATCCATTTCTGTTTGGGTACTGTGCAGATGAGATTTATATATAATATATATATAATCCAATATATAAAATATTGGAAGGTTTTCTCGAAAGCCTAATAAAAAGCAATTACTTTAAGACGTAATTAAAAGAGAAGAATGAATTAAAAGGAGAAAGGTAAGAAAAAATTGTTAATTACAGACCTATTTTGTTATATTTATATTGCGAATCACATTATACTTTAAAATTTATACCGTTAAGTTAAAGAAACTTGAAAAATTGTTAATTTGTTTGTTTAATGATTGATTGCAGATTTAAATTTGTAGTTACGTTTTAAGTGTAAGGTCAGTGGTCACAGTTTGTTTGTTGTTCACAGTTTGATAGTGAGCCTATACGACTCGAATACATTAAACAACTGGCATGATAAAACTTGAAATTTATGTTGAGTTTCTATGAACATAATTATTACTAGAGATGTTGAATGAATAGATAATCGGACTTTAATAAAAATTTGTTATAAAATGTAGAGAGAAGCAAACGAAAAATTTAGTAATGCAGAAGATAAATCAAATATTGATACACTAAACAAGGTTTTAATTTATCATACGCAGGGTTGGGCTTGTCCACCAGGATGCCGGTTGAAGCCCCGGTGAGCCGCTGATATCTTACTTACAATGGGCCACTTATATAAATTTAATGGGGTACTAATATAAATTCTTTGATAGTATAATTAAGTGTGATGAGTTAATATATTTGATTTTTAAATTATGTACTTTTAATATGGTAATAAATAATTTTAAATTAAAATAACCTATTGTTAATTGAGGTACCTAAGAGTTAAATAACACATTATTTATATATTATATGATTTTTTTTTAAGATTTTATAGAGGGCCGCTAGAAATATTATCCCCCGGCCCGCCACAAATAGCTAGTCCAACCCTGATCATACGGTATGATAGATGTTTTTTGTTTTGAGTAACTTTAATTAAATTTATTTAATATTAGTGATATTTTTAAAAATAAGAGTAGTAATGTTTGTGATTCTTGATTAGTCAGACTTCTTTAGACATTGTTCAAGTAATTCAAGTGTTTAAAATAATAAATCAAATGTATGCGTTTTTTTATTGTTCATTTTTTTGTTTAACTTTCTTTATTCCATACTTGGTTCGAACAAGTTTTCATAGTTCCATTTTCTTATTTAATTATTTTATGCAAGGAAAATAACTATGTAAATAAAGTTTACCAACTGTCAAAAAATCTAAATATAAAGTAATAACAAATGTTTTCACAAAAATAGTTTGTTATAAAACGTAAACTAAAGAACAAATGGATAAAGCTCCATTACATTTAAATCAATCAGATTATCAAATGTTGATGGACTTTGTTTAAACAAACCAAAAAGGCAAACAAAGTTTATTTTAGCTTCACATATAATGTTATAATCGTTTTTAAAAATTTTAAAATAAAAAAACATTTTAATAAACACAAAAAGAATTCTGAGTTAAAAAAAATCTATTAAAGTAAAAAAAAATGTTATTGATTTATTTATTCTGATTAAATTTAATAATGGTGCCAATAAATCTGGTAAATTGAACGTTTTTTTTTCTAAGAAACTATTCAAATGAAGTTTCATAGTTAAAATCATTGAAAGTCCTTGAATTTTTTTATATTTTTTCGGGAAAATGTTGCGCATGGATGGTGTCCCTGTTAGTACTTTTGGTGTGCATAGTAAAGGCCCTTTCTTACGCAAAACTTATTGTAAATGTAGTTAGGCCTGCTCGTGCAGTCAACATCCAACCCTTGTCACATCGTTGTAATGTTGCTTCTCTTTCTCTTTATCTACTATAGCATATTTATATGCGCAATTGCTCACTTATTTTGCTAGCCTAAATTAAGCAAGCGTTTTTAGAAAACGATGAGGGAAAACGAAGAAAAGGTTGAACGTTGAAAAGGTTGCTGACCCATACCAAACCCTCAGTCGATGTAGCAGCACTCCACTGCGAGTCAGGCTATTTGTCAGTCGATGTATGTACTGAAGCCCCCGGCAGCAGGCTATTTGACGTTAGGCGAGTATGACATCATCATGCTCACCTAACTCAGCAGTATAAGATAAATATATATATATATATATATATATATATATATATATATATATATATATATATATATATATATATATATATATATATATATATATATATATATATATATGTATATATATACATATATATGTGTATATATATATATATATTTATTTAATATATATATATATATATATATATATATATATATATATATATATATATATATATATATATACATATATATATTTATTTAATATATATATACATACATATATATATATATATATATATATATATATATATATATATATATATATATATATATATATATATATATATATATATATATATATATATATATATATATATATATATATATATATATATATATATATATATATATATATATGTATATATATATATATATGTGTGTGTGTGTGTCTGTGTGTGTGTGTGTGTGTTAAAGTGCCAATTAAAACAACTTTTTTTGAAATTGTCTACTGCCCTAAATGTGTTCTATGTAATAAAGTAACACTAAATTAAAAAAATTTTCGAATAAAAAAATATTTTTGGGGTCGCTCAACACCCTTAAACATCAAACGGGTCCCTAATATTTTGAAAAAAAAAGTTTTTCAAAAGTATATCACGTTGGGTTTCAAAAGAAGTGAAAATTTATGAAAATTTTAAAACTAATAAAATTATTTTATGGAAACACAAGTAAAAAAGTTTATTTCAAAAAAACTTTGTACTTTTAATTTTTTGTCAAAAAATTATAGTTTTTAGGCCATAAATTCTAAACTAGTAATATTTATATAAAATGATTATTATTTTTAAAATTTTTATAAAATTTCACTTCTTTTGAGACCCAATATGATATATTTTTAAAAGAATTTTTTTTTTTAAATATTAGGGACTTGTTTGATGTTTAAGGGTCTTAAGCAACCCCTAAATTTTTTTTTTATTTAAAATTTTTATTAATTTAGTGTTAATTTATTACATAGAACACATTTTGGGGGTGGCAGCAGACAATTTCAAAAAAAGTTGTTTTAATTGGCACTCTAATATATATATATATATATATATATATATATATATATATATATATATATATATATATATATATATATATATATATATATATATATATATATATATATATATATATATATATATATATATATATATATATATATATATATATATATATATATATATATATATATATATATATATATATATATATATATATATATATATATATATATATATATATGTATATATATATATATGTATATATATATATATATATATATATATATATATAAATGTATATATATATATATATATATATATATATATATATATATATATATATATATATGTATATATATGTATATATATATATATATGTATACATATATATATATATATATATATATATATATATATATATATATATATATATATATATATATATATATATATATATATATATATATAAATATATATATATATATATATATTTTTTCATTAACCATTTTCATAATATTAAGTTAAACATCCACATTTCCACTCTTGTGCTGTTTAAACAAGTTACAACTACACCGTTTTTTTTATTTAAATATAATTTTACAGAGAAGTTGAAGTAATTTTTGTATGACCAAATGCTGCTCCCGGTGATTTTTTGTTTTAAATAATAATAAAAGAAGCATTTTTTATGTTGTTAGCAGCATATTTAAGTTAACGAAATACAACTATTGAATAAACAATCTGTGTAATGTTACAACTTTTATTTTAAACCATTAATAGGCCGGGTGAATAAAAATAAGCAATTGCTTTTACTCAGTAATTGGTCAGCTTAACGTGAATAAAAACATTAGCAGTTTTGCTCAAATTTATTCACGTAAAGTTAAGCAATTTACTTAGTAATTGTTCGGCTTTACGTAAATAAAAACTTACGGAAAATTCCTTTAGCTTTTATTCACGTAAAGCTGACCAATTACTGAGTAAAAGCAGTTGCTCGTTTTTATTCACCCGGCCTAATAAACTTTATTTGAATACTGCAAATAGATCGCATTTGTAAAACAAAAAAACCCTACAATTTGTTAGTGATTGACTTATTTTTTTAAAGCACTTTTTTCTTTTTTTTTTTTCAAAAATAATTCACATTAAAATGATAAACATTTTTCTTTACTGAACCGAATTTTACATTTTACAATGATGAAAAAATTATTTTATTTATTTTATTTACTACTTGTACATTGTGTCAAGCGGTGTTACTGCTTTAGGTCTAGGTGTTGTCTAGTCTTTATTATTAATTATTCTGGAAACACATAATAATTTCTTTCAATAATATTTTGCATAATGTTGTTACTTGTGTTTATATACTGAATGACATTGCTTCTTTTTTTTTATACAAAATTGTGCATTGTAGTCTAGATACTTTGTTAAACTAAAAATAACACAGGTCAACAAAATTTTTTTTTTTCTGGTGCTAAGCAAACAATTTTTTTTGAATAGCATTTCTCAATATGATTTCAAATATACAACGCATTTTTCACTATCATGTCAAGTTGTAAAAATATTTTAAATATTTTCAAATCTATAGTATTTGGGGGTAAAATCCCTAATTTTGTAAAAAAAAATTATTCAAAAGTATGTTAACCTGGGTCATAAAAGAAGTGTATTTTCATAGAGATTTTAGAAAACAGTTATTTTCACTTAAAATTTATTGACAAAAAAATTATGCAAAAAAGTACTAAAGACTTTGAAAAAAAATTCAACACATTCATTCTTAACAATAATACAAAAAGTACTTACTTTTATTACAATTAAATAATATTTTTAAAATCTCAATAAAAATACGCCTTATTTGAGACCCAGGTTGACATATTTTTGAATTGTTGACATATAGTTGCAGTATCTTTTTTATTTGATGTTTGAAATGAACCGAACAAGTCTTAAAAAAAAAAAAAAAGTATTTGGGGCACCAGTTTCACCCCCTAAGATTGATAGCATGTTTTAATAAAGTATGTATTTTTTCATTTTTTGAAAGGAACCATGCTATTGGGATAAAGTAAGACAAATGTGGGTGAATTTCTTTGTTAAAAAAAGAAAAAAGTTATTACACATTTAATACGTCAAACTTCACTTGGAAAATAATTTCAGCTTTTGTTCTTGATGTTTTTCCAGTAAATGGTTGAGGCAGGACTGCTTTTTCATCACTAATATTCTTACTGCAAATGTCATTAATTCTAGGTTTGACAAATTTACAAGTTTCTATATTTTGGCATTTTAGGAAGCTGACATCTACATCAAAATCTTTTTCTTTTTCTTTCTACATAATAAGAAGTAGTGTTTTTACTACAAACCTCACAAAGAACAAAATCATTGATACTCACATTTTTAATAACGCCAAATGAAATGGTTTCCAATTCTTCTTCAAACTCTAGCGAGCAGTAGTTAGCAGAAACACCATTTGTTATTTTGTTGACATCAAAATTAAGGTTACTGCTTGATTTGCGTAATACATTTTTCTTCACTATCTTTGATTTTGAAAGTTTTTTTACCTTTTTTTTTTTGTATAATACTTCATCTCTTACTTTTAAATTTTCTGGTGTTGATGTGGCTATCATACACTTTTTCTTTTTACGTCCACGTCTAGCAATCTAAAACAATAATTTACAATAATAACTTAAAATAATTTGGTTGAAGATTAACATCTGGGTATTAATACTTTTTTTTTTATACATCTATGAAGTGAAGACTTAGAAATGCTAGCTGAGTATGTTGCTTCTCTGAAGCTTATCTCATTTTTTACTTCTGCTACAGCAATTTACAAAATGTTTTCTGATGCATGTGAAGTTTTCCTTTTTCCTTTTGAAACTCTAGGCATGATCTGATTTTAAAGAAAATTTGGTTTGATAAAAAAATATTTATTTGTAATGGTATTAAGGTTACTGTTATTTTTATATCCTTTATATAGTTTATAATTAAATGGTGTAAGGGAAGTGCAGTCTTCAGGACCACTCAATTGATAAGTTAATGGTTGTAAGTTTATAAGTCCTTCTGCCCCGGCAAACGCTATAATAAGTTCTTTGTCAGTAATATCCGCATTTCCCAGTTGGAAATAAATTGCTCGTTTTGCGGCTTTTATCATAATTTCATGAACTCCTCCAAAATGAGGGGCTGCTGGTGGGTTAAAATGCCATTTAATACCAACACGGCTTGTTGCCTCGTTTATTCTTTTCTTTTCGCCATCAGTGAAACTTCGTAGTTATTTGTTTGCTAACACAAAGTTACCTTCATTGTCAAATATCATTTCATTTAGCATTTCTTTTTGACTGCTCATCCTAAAAAACGCATTTAGAATTGAGTTGGCGTCCAACGCAAACGCTACTTCACGGTAAACTGCTCGTGAAGACAAGCAAGTAAGCAAGGCTAAATAACGTTTTGCCCGTCTTTTCCCTCTTCTTTGAATGGTTATAAACGGACCACCATAATCAACAGCACACCTTTCAAAGGCCTTCATACTAAACTGCAAACGTTTTGTTGATAATGGTGCCATTATCTGCGTTGCTGATTTTATTTTCTTCGCTTGCATTCTGCACACTCCGCTTCCCATTTTTTATCTCTTCAATTCCAGATACTACCCAATACTTTGTAGACAACTCCGGCAAGATATGATTTACACCCCATATATGCTGTCCTGCTTCGTGACAATCTTTTACGATCAACTTGGTTATGTGGTTATGCCTTGGTAAAATAATTGGGTATTGTGTATTGAATGAAAGAAACTCAGCATTTTTTAATTGACTGTCGCATCTAAACATTTTATTTTCATCTATTCGTGGCAATAATTTTAATAAACAACTAGTTTTTGAAATTCCTTTATTATTTATCAATTGATTGTACTCTTTCGTGTATGTTCTCTTTTGAGCATTAATAATTAATTTTGTTTCTGCATCATTGAGTTCTTCCGTTGAGAGTGTTTCTGATGATAAACATTTTTCAAAACAGTTATTTTGGAACCCTCGAATCTTCCATTTTAAGTAGCGGGTTGGTTCCAAACGCCAGTCATCGCTATTTTCATCGGATTTAATAGCCATCAAAGTATAAATATTCTTTACTTCTAGAATAAATTTGTCTTCGATTTCATTAAATTCCTTTGTTGACCTTTGTTGGGATTCATCTTGTTGGGATTGTTGGGATTCCTCTTGTTGGATGAACTCAGGCCCAGTCCACCACAAGTTACTTTTTTGTAAGTCGTTTATTTTTACTCCTCTAGATGACAAATTCTCAGAGTTTTTCCCTGTTGGTACGTAACACCATTGTTACGGATTTGAATGAGACTGGATTTCTCCAACTCTGTTTGCAACAAAGGTCTTAAATCTTTTACTTGGATTTTTAATCCAGGATAACGTGTTCAAACTATCCGACCAGAATATAACATTCTCCATTTTTATTATGCAAGGCAAAGCTTCTATGACGGAGAGCGCAAGTTTCAATCCTATAACTGCACTCATTAACTCCAGTCTTGGAATGCTAAATGACTTTGATGGAGCGACACAAGTTTTTGACGAAACAAAAGAACTTGACGTTCCACCAAATTCATAACCATGAACTAAATAACATACTGTTCTAAAAGCAAATTGTGAAGCGTCGACAAATAAGTAAAGAATTGAAAAAATGATCTTATTATTGTTTTTAATTCGTAAACAGCAGGTATTTTACATTGGAGAACACTTGTCAGTTCGCTAAACCAGATATCAGACTTTTGTTTTATTTTGTCTGGTAGCGTTTCATTCCAATCTTCTCCAGACATCCATAGTTCTTGAAATAATATTTTTGCTCGAATAACGAAAGGAGACAAGAATCCAAGTGGATCGAAGAGTTTTGAGATGAACTTTAAGAGCAGTCGTTTACTCGTAACTGGTAGATGTACTAAATGTAACCATATCTTCGGCTGCAAGATACGCCCAGTGTTTTTTACTGTAGGTAAGTTCTCTATGCGGTCATTCCCGTCTTTTTCCACAGTTGTGTAAGTTGATTATATAGTTCAATTGCTTTTTCTTCGGTTTCAACTGAATCCATACTGTCATCCATATATGTAGAATTATTAACATTCTCCGCAGTCAGTGGAAACTTCTTTTTATATTTCTCTGCATTTTTTTGTATAACAAACTGTGCTTGAAAAGTTGACACCAATAACAACTCTTGTAAATTCAAATAACTCAGGTTTTTTTTTTCTTCTAGATCCCGCCAAAGAAATCTGTGGTATCTTCAATCTTTCGGATTCAGCTCAATTTGCAAGTACATCTGTGTGATATCACCATGCAAAGTGACTGCGTTTCTTCGGAACCGCATCAGAACGACACATAGATCTCGTTGCAGTTTTGGTCCTTGATGGATGACGTCATTCAGCGAAACACCTTGGCATTTTGCAACAACGTCGAAAACAATTCTGACTTTTGGAGTCTCCTTTTCCAACTTTACAACGCTGAAGTATGGGAGGTTCCATTGATTTTTGTAATCATTTTTACTCTTTTGATATAACCTTTTGTTACGTAGTTCCGTATTGTTTCTTTGTAAATTTTCGTCACCTGCGGTGTTCTTTTAAGCCGTTTTTCCGTACTTATTAACTAATTTACTGCCATTTCATAGTTGTTTAGTAACGATTTTGTATTTTCTTTCCAAGGAATGCCAATTTGATATCGCCCATCCACATAATTTATCGAATTTGGCGCTTGATATATTTTCTTTTTATCTTCAACACTTACAGCTTGCGTTTCTGATGTTGGATGAACATTTTTGATTTCCCAAAATGTTTTTAGTGTTTCATTAATTTTTTCAACTTCGAAAATATTTTTAGTCAACGTCCTGGTGTGGCAAGTATAATGATTTTGAGTACGTCCAAGCGCCCCAACACATGTTCATCCCGGTAGCGTAAGTCGTGCTATTGGCATAAATGGCGTAAATCGTGCTATTGCCAGTGCGCCCTTCAACTTCTGTTTTCGATGAGTGAAGCTCAGCGTTATTCAATCCAATAAGAATATCTACAATTTGTCGCTGTCCTAGTATGCAAAATGGTTTAGTTTTTAGGTGACTCCAATGGTTTTTATGTTTATTTCAATCCACCATTTGCATGTTCTTCGTAACTCTATCAACTGTTAATGCATTTATCTTCTTTTTCAATTGACCATCAATGCTTTGCAACTTAAATGCAACCGGCATTGTTTGAAATGTGTCTACTCTACCATTGAGTACATTAATATTAATTTCTTTCATTACTCCTTGTAACCCAAGTTCTGCAGCTATTTTTATTTTTTTATTATTTATTTATTTTGCCGTTGATAAATATTACAAAAAAGAGATTACAATAAAAGAAAATCCTGGCCGGATGGTCGGAGCAAGAAGAAGACAGGTTGTCTTATCACCGAGCCCCGTCACACAAAAATTTACATGCACAACAAATGATAAAAGACAAAAAGACAGTATAAATACAAAAACAAAAACAAAAAAACTTCAGCAATAAAATAATTTGTTGCTAACAATCTTCCAGCAGAGCAATTTTAAAAATAAAAAAGTAAAAACGACAGAAAATTATGAAAGTTATAAAAACACAATAAAAATGCGTTGTTTATTAAAAAAAAAAGCAATATATGTAAACATAAGTATTTTGGCTGATTATTTAATATCATCAAAAATATGAACGAAAAAGACAATTTTATTTTCGTTATCTTTTATACTAATGGTTTGAAACCATTTTAATAAAACCTAAAGAAAGTGTTAAAGATTTAATTTATTTTTAAGTGATTTAGTCTAAACCTTTAAATTGTTTTTAAAAAAGGTATTTGAAATCTAATATATCGAATTCCATGTTCAAAAAGTGCCGTTTTGAATCATCCTTAAAATTTTGCAAAGTGCAGTTTAAAACGATGTTTTGTTTTTTATTAAAGATTAAAAGAAATTTTTTCTAAACTAAAAGTCCCCGATATTGAATTTGGTACGAACTTAATTTAAGAAGGTTTATGGGAACCACAAAGTTATTCACTAAAAATTTGGTTAGATATTTATGGGAGATTTCATTAAAGTAGGATTGAAATGCTACTGGAGAAAACCCAAGTTTTGCTTTAAACATACATATCATTACTTGATGAATATTAAGCTTATAAATATTTAATGCTCCAAGCTGACGTAAGAGAGTTTCGGATTGTGTTTTTCTATTTGCCCCAAATACTATCCTGCAAGCATGTTTTTGTTTACTATAAATTTTTTTAAGTTTAGTGTGATTAGTGCTACCCCAGGAAATGTTACAGTATGAAAGATAGCTATGTATAAACGAAAAATATAAATTTTTTAAAGACTCGTTATTAAGAAAAGGTTTTGTTCAATATAAGATGGCAATATTTTTTGAGATCTTATCTTCAATATACTTAATATGAAATTTCCATGACAATTTTTTATCTAAGAGCGCTCCCAGACATTTAATTATAGTCGGTTACTTATAAACCACTCGTTGATCTTATCTAATTCTTCGTTAAATATTTTAAAAAGAGCAGTAATATCTTTGTGAGAATAAAACAAATTAGTGTCATCTACAAATACTTTATTGTTATGATAAAAATAATAATAAAAAAGCTCTCCAACTCTTAATTATCTATTTTAAAGCTTTATTTAAAATAAAATTTTAATTTTTTAACTGTAAAACATGCGTAGAGTGTTGCTACATCAACTATCTTATAGCCTGATTCGCAACGGAGTGCTGCTACATCGATTATCTTATAGCCTGACTCGCAACGGAGTGCTGCTAAAGCGACTGAGGGTTTGGTTTAAGCAGGCAGCCAATCAAATGATGAAAAAAAAAAAAAATTATTATTTTGTATTTGTCTAGTTTCACTTAATTCCCTTTTATTTATTTTTAATTAATTTTTTCGCTTAAAAGTCCTTAAAATATACCGTTAAATGAACTATTTATAGAAAATAAAACATTACATCATTAACAACCAATAGGACGATGGTTCACAAAAAAGTTCGCATTTTACCGGTTCGCAGTTCGCGGTTCGCAGTTCGCATTTTACGTAGTACCTAGAAAAGCAGTGTAAGGCTGAGATTGGTCTTTAGTTTGAAATATTGGTCTCATCGCCAGATTTGAAAATAGGTGTTATTTTTGCAATTTTTAGTTTATCTGGAATATGACCTGATTTAAGGGAGAGATTGAAAATATGGAATAATGAGGGTTTGATAATATCAAAAACAGATTTAATTACATTAACATTAATTTGACCTATACCTGCACTTTTATTTTTTTTCAGACTATTAAAAGCAGTATGTAGTTCACTTTTAGTTAAAATCGGTTCTTCCATAATTAAATCAGTTGTTGCAAGATATGAATCAAATTTTTTTGACCCACTGGTACATCACTGTTTATATAGTTTTGGGTACTAGCATCATCCAATAGAGCGTTAACTTTTATCGACCGTTTTCCATTTGTTAAAATGACAGGGAAAGTTCTCATAGCCACATCTTGACTTTGATCTTTGCTTGAAAACTTGGTAAGAAGAGTTGTTTCTTCCTTTTTTTTCTCTTGTTTGTTTCTTTGAATGCAATAGTCTGTTATGAACTTACTGACAACCGTCTGTTCCACATTTTCTTGATTTCTTGCATTTGTTTTTAACATGATCATTACCCAAACATAGATGATAAAACTTTGCTTGTTCCTGTCTTTTACTTACTGCTATGGATTTGAACCTTTCACATTCCCAAACTGCATGTTTACCATCACAAATTTCGCACATTTTTTTTTACATCGTCTTTGAGCTTTACTCCAAAGTATGTTCTTTGTTTTTCTTTCAAATTTTTAAAGGGTTTTTCTTGATTATACTTTCTATTTTCCAAACCACATAAGATTTTCTAGGCAATTGTTTAAAACTCCGCTTCTTGAATTACTTTTTCTCGCAACAATTCCACCCCAGGACTTTTTTGCTTTTCAAATAACCATTGTAAAAATACACTTAGAATTGTTTTTGGTAACTTCTTCATAAGTTTAATGTACAGTGAGCCATCTGCTAACTCCTCGAATTTTCCCAATCTAAAAGCGTTTCTTTTTATAAATTTATATACGATTATTTATACCATATAATATTTCCCAAGAGTGATATTATAGGTATTTTGTAACTTTATAATGATCTATCTTATACAAAATTTGCTAACTGCCTCATTAGCTAAGGAAATCTCTGAGGTCAATATATGACGCTTAGAGACGTTTATAATACAACTATATTATTTAAATTAAACTGCTATTTACACTAATCGCCTCGTGATCACATTAGAAGATATTATTTGAAGCATTCATTTAAAATGGCTAACCATGAGAAATAACACGTTGATTTTGTTAAAATGTTTTGCATTTGCTGCTTCTGGAAACGCAAGGATTTAAGACCTATAAATAATTACGAAAAAACAAATAAATCTAAACAAAAAGAAAAAAAAGACTATTCAAACCTTATCAAAACAATATTCTGGAAAGATTATTTAGCTCATAACTTAGACCTTCTAACCATTCTTTGCTCAAAATGTAGATGAAAGCTTGCTGGGACAAACCCTTACTTCACTCTGCGTGTTATGAAGGTAAAATATACATATTTATATATATTATACTTTAGTTAAAATTTATTTACGTTTTTATGAGAACAATAGTTACTAGACATACGCTATGAAATTTAGACCTGAATATCAGAGTTATCACAGACAGGAAATGCGAATGTTCGATACTATGTGAAAATTGGCGCAAATCAAAAATGAAAAAAAAAAAATATTTTTTTTTCAATTTTTAATTTTTATTTATTTATTTCGTCAGTAAAAAAAAAAGAACACAATGCCGTGTAATATAAATAAGATCTACATGACCGGGGTTAAAAGAAGACAATACTTGCCTTATCACTACACCCCAACGTGCTTTCATAAGCAAGCGTGTACAACCATTAAAAGTTAAATATACAATTACTTTGTGCCATTTAAAAAATTATATACAATTATTTACAAGTATGTTAAGACTAGTTACTAATCTATAATCAAAAGAAAATAGTAAAAAGAAATTAAAAAAAAAAAAAATCAAAACTATAGATAAGCTAATAGGATAGTTTATAGAGTTAATAAGATAATTGTTAAAAATAAAGAAAAAATAAAAATAAAAAATTTTTAAAAAGAATTTAATTCATTAACATCGTTAATAAGTTTTTGTTTCAATTTTTTTTGAATAGGTAAAGAGAAGAGCAATTTTTCAGCTCGTCACTTAATAAAGCGTTCCATAATTTAGGGCCTCTTATAGCAATAGAAAATTGGGTAGCCAAATTTTTTTTTTTTTTTATTTGCATTCAATCCCAACAAGGCTGCAAGCAACCACTATTAAGTTGGGAGTTACTAGGAGAAAAAAAAAAGAACAGAGTTATAGAGCAAGGAAACGGTTGACAGAAGACTTAAAAAGTTGAAGGTTGTATGAGTCAGGAAAACATGAAGATGGGAGAGAGTTCCAAAGGATTGAAGTGCGGGGAAAAAAACTAGATGAATA